CCGACCTCGGCCCGGGCTGCGGGGCGCGCGCTGCCCTGGCCCCCGCGCTGCGCCGGCCGGGGTCCTGGAGCCCGGGTCCTGCGGTCACGTTGCTTTCTTTCCCCCCCTCAGAGTGCCATTAAAGGGAAATTGCAAGAATTGGGCGCTTATGTGGGTAAGTTTTATTGTTGTTCGCCCAGTAGACTTTAAGTTTGCAAGCTGATGTTTGTGTTTGAACTTTTTCCCGTGTTTCGACTGTATCGTCTTTTATCCTGCCGATTTAAAATCTGATATTCCTTGATTTTGTTTAGACGTCATTTCATTGAGCAGTCTATGGGCAGCTTCCCCCATCCCCAGTGCTGTTTTTGAAATAGTTGAACCTTCGCTAAGGCTGCGCTTTTCCATGATTTTTGATTGACTTTTTTCCCCCTAGTTTTGTTACTTTTTTTTTTACATTGTATCTTCGGGGCTAGCACTTCTTATATGAATGTTACTTTGTGTCATTTGCCTTCGTAATGGCTCAGTGAATTTTTTTCCCAGTTGATGTATTTTCTTCTTTACAATAGTAGGGAGTGCTTTTTTCCTCTGTTGTCTTACTATTTTTAGTGTGGACCATGCACTGTGCCTGCCTGCCTATTGTGTGTATGTGTGTGTGTGTGTGTGTGTGTGTACACAGTTAACTCATGATAATCTCCAGGAGAGCCCTGAAAGGTAAGTGATAATATTCCCAATTGTATAGTGAGGAAATGGGAGATTGCCCTACTTCATCAAAGCTTTATGATTGAGTTGAGGCTGGGAAATTTAGCCAGACTGTCTCAAAAAGAAAAAAAAAATTCTTGAAGGATATAGTTCTGTAATAGGTACTCTTTCGTAGTAACTTTAAGGCTGTAGATTAAGTTCCCAGTACTGAAAGACAAAATACCACTTAGAGCTGTCCCCAAAGTGTGTGGAACTCTAGGGAACAAAACTGTTTCCATGTTAATATAATACTAAAAAGATGCTTGTCGTTTTCATTATATTTGAGTTTGGATTATGCAAAAGGAATTAGTAATTTAGCATTAAACAGAATAGCCACACCAGACTACTAGAGATTGTATTCAAGTCACTCCCCACCTGCAGATTTTTTTAAAAGCCTGTTTTTTTATTTTAAGTATTTTATTTTGATAGGGTCTTGCTGAGTTGTCCAGGCTGGTCTCTTAACTTTCGATCCTTCTGCTTCAGCCTCCCATGTTGCTGGGATTGGAGGGATGCATCACACCTGACTTAAGAAAATCCTGTTTGACCTAAGAATGTCATTGGTGAGCTGGGCATGATAGTAGACACCCTTAAACCCAGCTGCTGAAGAGGATGAGGGAGCAGGATTTGAAAGTTCCAGACTGTGTCTCAAAAAATGAAAAGGGAAAAAAAAAAAAAAGAAAGAAAAGGGCTGAGGATGTAGCTTAGTGATACAGTGCTTGCCTGTCAGTAATGAGGAGCTGGTACTACCCACTCAAAAAAAAAAAAAAAGAAAAGGGCTGAGGATGTAGCTTAGTGATACAGTGCTTGCCTGTCAGTAATGAGGAGCTGGTACTACCCACTCAAAAAAAAAAAAAAAGAAAAGAAAAATTTAAAAGAAGAATGTCATTGGTGGAGCAGCAAAAAACGATTAAAGCCCTGGTTTTTCATTACATATTTTTAGTATACTGTTTTTTTCTTTTTTTCTTTCTTTGTATTACAGTAAGGGTCTACAGGGTCTCACTATGTAGATCGGGTTTGTAGTGATCTGCCTGTGTTCAGCCTCTCAAAGAGCTGGGATTACAGGCATATGCCACCATGCCCAGTCTCAGTCGCCCCAGGGGGTGGCCCGTGTGGGACTGGCGCCCGAACCTTCAGGGCCTATGGATCGAGCCCCGGCAGCAGCAGCTGCTCTCTACCTAAGCAGGTGCTTTAATCCGTTGAACTATTTGGCCAGCCCAGTATACTGTTTCTGAAGCACTATAATTGCTTATTTAATGTTTTTTTTAAAAATTTATTTATTTTTTTATTTATGTGTGTGTGTGTGTGTGTGTGTGTGTGTGGCCAGCTCAGCCCACTAGGGGGCGGGGCTGGCTGGCATGCGGTGCTGGGGGATTGAACCGCGGTCCCTGTGCTTTGCTAAGCTTGTTCTAAGTAGGTGCTTTAGACCACTGAGCCAGCTCACCAGCCCCTATAATTACTTATTAAAGTAGCAATGTTTTAACAATTTTTGTCCCTTTGAGACTGTTTCACCTTGCAGTCCAGGCTGGTCTTGAACTTGAAGCAATCCTCCTCTCTCAGATCCTCAAGTACTCCAATTACAGGTGTATGCCACCATGCCTGTCCCAATGATGATTATCTTGAGGAAAGGCATTGGTATGATTGAGAACTAGCCATATTTTTCATGAAGTATCTTTTTTTTCGCTTTTTTTTTTTTTTGAGACGAGGTCTCATTGTATAGTTCATGCTGGCCTTCAACTCACCATGTAATTGGGGATGGCCTCAGACTTAGAGCAATATTCTTGCCTCAGCCTCCTAAATGCTGGGATTACTGGCATGTGCCATTACACCTGGGTGAAGGGTTTTTTCAGTGTATTTGATATAGGGTCTAAAGAGTCTTACTACATAGATCAGACTCATAGTGATCCTCCTATTTTCAGCTTCCCAAGCACTGGGATTATAGGCATGTGCCACCACACCCAGTCTCAATCCCTGTCTCAGCGGGCCGGGGCGGGACCGCCATGGCATGGTGGGGATCGAACCCTGGTCCCTGCACTCTGCCTAAGCAGGCGCTTTAGTCTGCCGAGATACCTGGCTGGCGCTTGAAGTATCATTTTTAAGTTCTAAGAGTGAGGTCCAGCCAAATAGCTCAGCAGATTAAAGCCCTTGCTTAGGCAGACAGAGGGGCTGGGAGTTTGATCTCCTGGCCTGCTTTGCCAGCTCCGCTCCCAGGGTGTGCTGAGACAGATTGAGACTGGGTGTGGTGGCACCAGCACTTGGGAGGCTGTAAACAGGAGGATCACTACAAGTCCCATCTACGCAGTGAGACCCTGTACGCCCTGTCCTAAATAGAAAAAAAGAAAAAAAAAGTTCTAAGAGTGGATAAACTAGTTTTGTTTACTTGGGTATTTGACAAATGTAAGAAAGCAACTGACCAGTGTTGAACTTTCAAATGAAAAATAGAATTTTGTAATACTTGTATCTGCCTCAGTGAGCTTGATAGCTTCTCAGTGCTGAAAGAATTTCTGGTAAAACTATATGGCTAAAGGGCCTGGGAGATGGCTCAGTAGGATAAGTGCTTGACTGGCAAACGCAAGGATCTGAGTTCAATCCCCAATTCCACAAAACAAACAAACAAACAACAAAAAAAAACTAAACCAAAACTATATGGCTATTGGTAAACACAAGTTTATTGTTGTATAATGAAATGTGTCAGTATGTTAGTGCTTCACGACCCTAGTGAACCAGTATTTTCCCAGTGACCAGTGGATAATGTTAAAAAGTTATAGGGGACCGAGGCGATGGCTCAGTAGAATAAGCGCATCCCTGGCAAGCTCAAGGGTCTGAGTTCAATCCCTGGTTCTGCCAAAGGAAAAAAAAAAGTGTGGTAAGAACAGCTATTAAAACCAGAGAGGAAGTCAGTGGGTTTTCTTATAACAGGGTACAAAAGGTAATTGATGTAGTTTTAGATTTCATATTGGTGCTAACATTTAAGAAATTTCCATTCATTGAGCTTTGGGGTTGTGTCACAGAATGGCCATAGTACCTGCACAGGTTGTTAGCATACTACTTCTCTGGCTAGCACTGTGGGTCTGTCATCCTAGCACTCTGGGAGATTGAGGCCGGACTGCAGGTTTAGGCTCAGCCTGGGCAACGTAGTGACTTAGTGAGAACTTGTCTTAAAAAGTTTTTTTTTTTAAGGGAAGGTTATGTAGCTCTGTGTGCAAAGGCCCTAGGTTTAGTCACCTATGCTGCACCCTTCTCCCTAGTCTCTGTATACATTCTTCCCTTTTCTAGCTGTGTGTCTGACAAGCTTTTCTGCACATTCTTCTGTTGGAACATTACAAAAGGTCAAATGCAAAAAGCACCAGCACCAGCTTGTGCAACTTAGTGATTCAGGGAGACACTGTCTGTTAGTGAGGAATACCTGGGCTCGCCCCAAGTATGCAGGTGGCGGGGGGAACAGAGGGTAGAAAACACCTGTTTTTTAAGACAAATTACTAAAGAGATTTATAAAAATGTAGAGCAAGGCCATTCTTTGCACTACAGTTTTATTTTCTTGGAAGCTGTAGCTGTTTCAATAAAATACATTTTTTACAAATATACTTGGGTCTATGGATGTGTAATGAGTATTTTAAAATGAATTAACACTTAAAATTTTCTATTTTAGGGGCTGGGGAGATGGCTCAGTAGGATAAGCACTTGACTGGCAAACACAAGGATCTGAGTTCAATCCCTGGTTCTGCAAAAAAAAAAAAAAAATTCTATTTTAATTTTGTATGGTAAATACCAGTGGAGATAACAAACCAGAGATGGAGTCAGAGGTCAGTTTGAATATTCCTGATTTACAGATAGGCAAATTTCTCTCTCTTTTTTTTTTTTTTGTTTGGGGGAACTGGGGATTGAACTCAGGCCCTTGCGCTTGCCAGGGAAGCGCTTATTCTACTGAGCCATCTCCCCGCCCCTAGATTGGCAAATTTCAAAAATTACTTGTCTTGAGGACCATTGTAAGACTAGTACATTGGCAGTGAACCAGTGGCACATGAACTGCAACCAGGTGATATCACTGAAGGCTCTTAAGTGGCTTGATGTCACTGCTTTAACAGATGAGGAACTTGAAGCTCAGAGAAGATGAGGCTGCGTCTGGATTGATTTAGTGTTTTTATTCAAAACTTCAAGGATTGGCCGGGCATGGTGGCACACACCTGTAATCCCAACACTTGGGAGGCTGAGGCAAGAGAACTGCTGGGAGTTGAGACCTTGAGCTGCAAAGTGAGCGCAGGGCCAGTCTGAACTGCAGATCAAGATCCTCTCTCAAGGGGGCCGGGAGACGGCTCAGTGGAATAAGCGCTTCCCTGGCAAGCTCAAGGGCCTGAGTTTAATTCCTGGTTCCGCAAAAAAAAAAAATTCTATTGGAAAATTTTCAGGACTGGAGAGATGGCTCAGTGGAATAAGCGCTTCCCTGGCAAGCATAAGGGCCTGAGTTCAATCCCCACTTCCCACAAACAAACAAAAAAATCCTCTCTCAAAAAGACAACACCATACTCCCCAAAAAAACCCTTAATGGATGAAAAAAACAGCACCAAGACCAGCTGGGGCGATAGCTCAGCAGCATAAGTGCCTGCCTAGAGTTTGATCCCTGGTACCAAAAAACAAAAACCCCAAAACCAAAAACTTAATAGATGGTTGCTATTAGCTAGAAGTTTGGGCTTAAAGTAAATCCAAAGAATGTCTCGTAAGGATTTTTTGTTTTTTAATTTTACCACATGAAAAGCACAAACACATATTGAATCTAAATTAAAACTTACCAGTAAGTTTGAACTTGAAGGCTTTGTCATTATTCAGAAATTGCAAACCAAGATTTTTGAACTCTCTAAGAACCTGGTTGCGAGTTTCTTTTTTTTTTTTTTCCTGCAAAGCTTTATTCCAGAGGGGCTCAGTCCTTAGCAGCTGCCTTCCTCACGGCGGCCAGCATGTTGCTCAGCTCCTCACGCTTCCTCTTGGTTGGGATGTGCGTCCCCAGCCTTCTCTTAATGAACTTGAGGGCACATTTGTCCTTGGAGACCTTGAGCAGCTCCGTGGTGTGCTGCTTGGGGCGAAGCTGCACATCTTCTGCATCATGGCCCACATGAACTTGGTGTGTTTGGTGAGGCGTGTGTGATGGCGGCTGTGCCTCGGTTTGCTCACATTCTTAGTCACCTTGTGGCCCTTGTTGAGGCCCACAGCCATGGGATAGCAGAGGGCCATGGCTGCTGTTCTTCAGTGGTCACTGTGGTGGAAGAACCTGGTTGCACTTTTCATCTGAGATATAATTGAAAATTGAATGCTTAAACCTAACAAATGTATTACAGTAAAAGACACATTGCCATTAATTACCCTCAGAATACCAGCCTCGCTTTGAGCACACTTGTCCTATTGTTCTTACCCCTCCCCCCTTTTTTTGAGACAAGCTTTTGGTGTGTAGTTTTGGTTGGCCCAGAACTGTGTAACTCAGCCCAGTCTCCCAACTGTGGTGATGATCTGCTTGCCTCAGTCTCTTTAGTGCTGGGATTACAGGTGTGTGCCTCCAGGCCTGGCTTCTTGTCACTTTTCTGTGAAGTAGTTCAGGAAGGCCTCTTTTCATAGGATTCATTAATTGTGATGTGGTTGCCTTGTCCTGAATCAATTGAAAGCCGTTTATTTTTCCTGGTCATTTTCACTCTGGGGATGAGCAAGAAGTCCCATCATGCCAGCTCTGGGGAACAAGTGAGTGGTGTCACACCATCACATTCTTAGGTGCTTGCCTTTCCATTGACAGGCATTAGGCAACATTATTCACTGCATTTTTGATTACATCTTGTAAAGGAAGTCCTGGACTTTGATACCTGTTTTAGAAAGCGGGAAGAGGGCTAGCTCAGTAGATTTAAGTGCCTACTTAGGCAAGTGCAGGGACCGGGTTCAATCCCCAACACCACGTGCTGCGCCAGCCCCACCCCCTGGTGGTGCACACCTGTAATCCCAGCACTGGAGAGGCTGGAAACAGATCACAGCAAGTTCCAGCTGTGTAGTGAGACCTTGTACCAAATACATAAAAAAGTAGCAAGAATGATGGGAAAATTGTTCTCAAAAGAGTGAGAGTATTTGAGGTTTTTTTTTAAAGAATACGTGTCACTATGCAGTTCAGGCTGGCCTTGAGCTCAGTTTGTAGCCCAGGTTGGTCTTGAACTCCCAATGATCCTTCTGCCTCCAATACCTGAGTCCTGGGACTACAGGTATGTGCCACCACGCCTGACTTGATGGAAATTACTAGCACTGTCTCTCACAATAACAAATTAAAAAAACTTAAAACTTTACTATATTTTTTCTGACACCTTTGATTATAGTAAAGACACTACATTTTAATAGTTTGGAAAAGTTTCATATAGTTTCCTTAGGGTGGGAGGGCATTAGTAATAGTATTCTTTTTACAAAGAAAAACTAACCTTTGTGGGGCTATATAGAGTTTATCAGTAGCAGATTAAGGTCAGGGAACTTGCCAGGGAGATGGCTCAGTAGAATAAGTGCTTCCCTGGCAAGCATGAGGGCCTGAGTTCAATCCCTGGTTTCGCAAAAAAAAAAAAAAAAAAAGTCAGGGAACTTAAAGCCTTTTGAGTCCTTATTTATTGCATTAACTTTATAATAGAACTTCATAAGCCAAAGACCGATTGGAGCTTGTGCTCTTCTAGAACTTCACCAATTTATATATTAGCACAGTTGCTCTCAGCTTGTCACTGCTACTTCACAGACGTATTCTCATTTCTGTGTCTGTGTGCCTGCCCATGTGTGTGTTAGAAGAGTTTATGTGTTTTGTTTTTTGGTGCTGGGATTGGAATCCAGGGCCTCTACTTGCTCTTTCTCTGAGCTGTACTTCCACCTTAGAAGTTTCTTAAGGGCAGAGGTTTCATATTTTCTGTGTTTCAGTGACACAGCAGATAGCCTGACATTTCATATTAAGATGGCAAACAGGTAACCTTTTAACTCCATTTGAAGTAAGATAGAATACATTTATGTCTGCAGTTACCTAATTACATGTATGTACATCTTTGTCCTGAAAAGAGTGAGTTTCTAATTTCCCTTTTCGGTGGTACTGGGCACGGAACCTGGGGACGAGGGCGTGCTGAGGACTCCTCCTCCGCTCAGCCACACGCCAGCTCTCTGGGCTCTTTAACCTAGAAGGAATCCTAAATCCCTTTTGAAGTCATGAAAACAATTCTGTAGGAAATATTTGATGTCTGATTTCAAGACAGACATTGGGTGTCATACACTGATGAAAAAATTTTAAGAAAGTGGTAATGGCTTTTTTTTTTTTTTTTTTTTTTTGCGATACCAGGGATTGAAGGTAACGTCTTATTTGTATTTCAAATGAATACATTTTCTACTTCAGTGAGATGACAATTAAAATTGTTACTAACTTTCGCAAACCTTCACAATTTTTTTTACCCCAGTGTGCTGTGCTGATTTCAGATGAACTTGACAAGCCTGTCAGAATTCTGGAAGACTGTATCATGATGATGTTGATTTTTTATTAAGTTGATATGTTTCCTTGTGTGTTTACTCAGGAAACCTGAGAATTTTGGAAAGCTTTTTGTTGAGATATAATTGACATACACCAAGCTGCACATTGTGTGTGTGTGTGTGAGAGAGAGAGAGAGCGAGAGAGAGAAACGGGATTGAACTCAGAGCTTACACATGTTAGGCAAGAGCTCACCATTGAGCTGTACCTCCAACCCTAAATCGCACCCATTGAAAAAATGAAAATAAAAAAAAAAAAAAGAAAAAATGAAAATCAGCACTGTAGCCAAAGTAATGTATATTAACCTGGAAATATAATCTATTAGTAGAGGGTAGACAAAACTGTGGGTTTCCATTCCTAGCACTGCCAACAAAACCCAACACACACACACACACACACACACACACACACAGAGGCTGGAGAGAGAGCTCAGTGGTCTAAGTGCCTGCCTGGCAAATGCAAGGACCTGGGTTCGATCCCTAGTATTATATACCAATCTGGTCCTTTGCTGTGCTAGACACCGAAACCGGGCATGGTGGCACATGCTGTAATCCCAGTGCTGGCGAGGCTGAGATGGGGATTACTGTGAGTCTGAGCTGCACAGTGAGACCGTGTACCAAATAAATGAAACCCTAGAAACCCAACCAAATAATAAACATATGTCATCCCCAAGATTTTCAGAAACTGCTGTCTCTTCCTTATGTCTTTCCCAGCCCCCAGCCCAATATCCAGACAACCTTGACCTCATACAACATTTTAGAAAATGGAAACTGATATGTATGGACAGCAGGCGTGATCTGTTGGTACCACTGATGTTATAAAGGGGAAAATTACCAAAAAGCTGCTAAAGTTTTGCCAGCTGTATTTTATTGACCTGAGTCACCGGTGGTAGCCTGGAATACAAATTATGCAGACATAAGCTCGCACTATTGCTAGAAGCAGTGAGAACCTGTGAATACGCCCCACCCTGGGCTGCTTGTCGTATCTTCTCACCTATTGCATGCATCTATAAAGTAGTCTGAGCTTTTTCCTTTCATAGGTTATACTTTCTCAGTGTATTTGTGCTTCTTTTGAGCAGCATTTTTGATCCAAATTTGTCTTTGATACAAATATCTGATAGTACTTTAGAAATGAACCTTTGTCTCTGTGTGGAAATAAGAGTGTTTAAGGTTTTTTGTGGGGGCAGAGGTAGGGATTGCAGTTCCATAATACAGACATTTGTTTATTACCATTTTGGGGTGCACTACTGGGGATTGAATTTAGGGCCTTGCCCATGCTGGACATGCACCCTGTCACAGAGCTGTATCTCCTCTTAATTTTGAGATAGTCTTAGTTGCCCAGGTAGATCTTGAACCTAATGATCCTCCTTCCACAGCCTTCTGAGTAGCTGAGATTATAGGTGTGCGCCACGTGTAATCTTTTCATTAAGGGTTCTTTTTTTAAATTTTTTCTTGGTCCTGGGCCTCATCCTGCTAATCATTGTATAAGGTTACCACTGTGAAGGTAAAACAATGCGTGAAGTTAGTTGACGCTGTTTAACTGAATTTCTTTTTTTTTGTGGTGTTGGTGTTGAACCTGGTGCAAGCACTCTACTTGCAACACCTCCAGCTGCTACCTAAGGTTTAAAATTTTAAGTTATATGCAGTTTTGGGTGATTTTTAGTTTATTTAGTGTTGCTCCAAGTTTATTATATTGAGGAATTGAAATCTGCTTTTACCAAGGATAAAGATTTAATCTAGAGAAATGAGTACTTTTGAAACTGTATAAATAAATAAAACTAAACCTCAGTTATTCTTGGGAAGTGTCTATGTTCTTTTCTAGAAGCTTCTCTGATCATAATACATACACATGGTTAAAAAGATCTCTTTCAAAGAGATGAACACACTCTTGCAATTGATTTTGGAATCCTAGATATCTAGGTTTTTTTTTTTTTTTTTTTTTGTGGTACTGGGGATTGAACTCAGGACTTTGCGCTTGCCAGGCAAGCGCTTATTCTACTGAGCTATCTCCCCAGCCCTGATATCTAGTTTTATTCCAAGGATTTCATCAGGTATCCCTAATTCCTAGTTTGCTAGTAATTGGAGTATTTGTGGAATGAAGAAGAAAATTTAGAGCTGAGCGTTTTTGTCTGACGTAATTCCAAGAGAGAGAACTCATTCCTAAAGCTACATGTATGTTTTGATGCACAGCAGCTACAGTGTGAATGTTAAGGAAAACAAAAAGGATTTGATATACTTTTCCTTTTAAATAGATGAAGAACTTCCTGATTACATTATGGTGATGGTGGCCAACAAGAAAAGTCAGGACCAAATGACAGAGGACCTGTCCCTGTTTCTAGGGAACAACACAATTCGCTTCACCGTATGGTATGTTTCTGAATGTTTGTGCCTCATGCTGCAGTTCGCAGACTAGGTGTTTCATATGGAGGGCAGTTCTTGACTGTCACTAGGCCAGCGTGCATAGGCAGTTTGTGAGTGATGGGGCACAGCCCCTGGAGCTTGGTCCTGGTGCCACATCTTGCAGTATTCTCTGTCCATAAAGTGGGAACAGTAAGTCACCTACTTCATGGAACTGAGGGTTAAAAGAGCAACTACATGTAAGTGTTTGCAGTCCACTTGACCTCTAGGAGACTCACATGTCAGCCTCAGTTTCTGTGTTTCCTTGTGAACTACATCTTATTCCTTCCTCTGGCCAAACCAAGTTACAAACATCAAGCACCACATGTAGTTTAGACTAGGTGTAATTTCCTGCTTTGTTTTTCCAAGTTACCTTGTAAGGGACAAAGCTTTTTGGCATTTAATTTTTTTTTCTTTTTTTGCTTTAAGATTCATTCTTTAACTTGACAAATGACAATTTCAGTTATCTTTAAAGTTTGGAATTTTAAAATAAGCAGCCTTGTTTAGCATAAATTACTCCTATAATTTGGAATTTCCTTCTCCGAACCACATGTGCCTTCAGTTAGGAATGTTGACTAAAGCCATGAGAACTGATTAAAGAAATCCAGTTCCTGAACGACGCTTGAGATAGAATGAGAGTGGGAAAAGATAGTGATATTGCTAAGAAGAGAGGTAGGAAACATTAGACTGGGAGTAGGCAGGGACAGTGGAAGTTGGTAGAACTGGGTAGAGTGACATATGGCCTTCATTTCAGTGGCAAGAGATGTGGACAACAAATAGGCACTAAATGGAGAGGATGCCTGTTAGTCTCCTGCCTTAATGTAAAAGTCTCACAGTTTTTGTCCTAGCAGGCAGCTATATGCTTTACTGTTGTTATGCAGCCACTTTGAAATTTTGCTAGTCATTCTCTGGGTTTATACGTTGTTAAGGGTGTAGGTCCTCACACATGGCTTTCAGGTAGGTAGCTTAACCTACTGAGGACAGTTTCATTGTTTACCAAAATAAAAATGGCCATGGTGCTTTAGTCTGTACCAGTGCAAGTATTTGTTTTGTTTAATAAACATTTTTCATGGCCTGATCTTTTTTTTTTTAACATCTGGGTCACCTTGAATTAAGTCCAGCTTCTCTTAGATGGGAGATTGACCTAATAGATGCTTTACCTGATAACTTGATGGAATACTTTAGACAAATTCATTCAGCAAACTAGTAACTGAGTCTGAATTTAAGCTAAAAGTAAACTGTTTTGTCCTTGCAACAAATTCACTTCCTTGGTACCTATGCAAGAGGCGATGTCTTCATGTTGGTACTTTGCTTTCCTGACTTACGTGCTCATTAACACCAGCCCTGAGCAGACTGTCATGTTTCTGAATCCCTACAGCAGTTGTGTCCATTGGTGTTTGCTGCTACTTGGCTAGGGGTCTCAGTGAACATGCACTGAGAAGTCTGAGGTTTCAGGGAGCCTCTTGGAACAACTGGAGACCAGATTTGCCTTGTGTATAGTTGTGGAAATAGGCTCTAAATAGGGTCATGGCCTATGTTGGGTTATAGTAATTACTTTGAAAATCATAGTGGCAATGAAATTTTAACCATTTTCTGAGGTTATTAACTTTCTCTTCTTTAGCTCTCTAAATTAGGTTGTCCAGAAAATCATGTAAGTAGTCTGGGCTAAGGGTGCAGCTCAGTGATAAAATGCATGTTTAGCATGCTGAAGGCTCTAGGTTGAGTTCCTAGTTTCAAAATAAAGTTCAAAATAAGTTATGAAATCATTATGAAAATGGCATTATATAATTTTGTTTTACTGTGTGCTCTGAGATTCTGGTCAAGGTATCCTTGCCTTTGTTGATTTTGTTTTGCTTTGGTACTGTGGATTGAGCGCAGAGCCTGTGTATGCTAAGAACTTGCTCTGCCACCAAGTTGTACCTCCAGCTCCTTTGTGCTTATTTGCAGAGGCTACATGTTAAAAATAATGAAGAAATTAATGATTTTTGATTTATTTCTGTAATGTTTATATAGTGTTCCAAAATGTAATACTAGAAAGCTAATTTTAATATCATTTATCCATTAGTTAATTACTGCCATGTCTATATTTATCTGGATAAAAAGTCAGCATATTTAAAGTGGTAATTGAAATGAAATCTTAAGGGAGACTTTATTTTGTGTTTTCTTTTAGGCTTCATGGTGTATTAGATAAACTTCGCTCTGTTACAACTGGTAAGATTTACAAAATTGAGATTTGTCTTGAATTCCTTTTTGCTATAGCATATGATTCTTTTGAAAATCATTTACACTATTTTGGAAACACCTAAAATTTGGAAAAGAGTGTTCATTTGAACTTTATATGGGATAATAAGCTTATGAATTTTGTGAGTAGTAAATTTATCCAGTGATAATTTTATTGTGTGTGTAGGTAGAAGTACAGTTTATCCTAAGGAAAAAGTTGTAGATATATGCTGAGGCTTAACTGCAAGCATGTCTCACTGTGTTGTAATTAAAAATTACTTCAACATCCCATAGTAATAAATGTAATAAGTTATTTGATTACTATGTGTGGAATAATCAGGGATTAAAAAGTGTATAGTACTGTAAGAACATACTATATGTATGTACATACATTGTATATTTATATGTACGTGTATACTTCTCCTAAGAGAACAGCCTTTGGTGCTAGATGTGGTGTCATGCATGTATATCTTCATCCACTCCAGAGGCCAGGCAGGAGAATTGTGAGTTTGAGGCCAGCCGAGGCAACTTAATGACTCTGTCTCAAAGGGTAAAAATGGCTGGGGTATAGCTCACTGGTAAGACTGCTTATCTAGCATGCATGAAGCCCTTTGTTCAGTACTGTATGGGGAAAACAAGCATAAGCCTCTGAAGTAACTGGTTATTTTGTTTATATTTTGAAACTTTTCCACAATGAGTATATATTGCTTTTGAGTTGGTGATCAGAGAGGAAAAGTTTTAAACTAATAAAAGTTGATTATAAGACTATGTATTTTTTTTTTTTTTATTGTAGAACCCTCTAGTCTAAAGTCTTCTGATACCAACATCTTTGATACTAATGTGCCTTCAAACAAGAGCAGTTTCAGTCGGGGAGATGAGAGAAGGCATGAAGCTGCAGTGCCTCCCCTTGCTGTTTCGAGCGCTAGACCTGAGAAAAGAGATTCCAGGGTTGCTGCAAGTTCACAAGAGCAGAAAACAAGTAGCATGAGGTAAAGGAACTAGTCACTTTCTTATTAAAATTTTCAAAGTAAACATTTTTTGCTGAGTGTGGTGTTGAATGTCTGTTATCTCAGTGCTCAGGAGGCTGAAGGAGGAAGATTGCCCTGAGTTTGAGGCCAGCTTGAGCTACATAGTGAGACCCTGTCTCATAAAACAAGCATTTTTGAAGGATTTAGAGACAACTGATCTAATCTGATTGTGGAATATTTCTATTTTTAATAGACAGACTTATGATGAGGGAGCGGCAACGCGGCTGATGTCAACAGTGAAACCTCTGAGGGAGCCAGCGCCCTCTGAAGATGTGATTGATATTAAACCAGAACCAGATGATCTCATTGATGAAGACCTCAATTTTGTGCAGGAGAATCCCTTATCTCAGAAAAAACCTACTGTGACTCTTGCATATGGTTCTTCTCGGCCTTCTATTGAAATTTATCGACCACCTGCAAGTCGAAATGCAGAGAGTAGTGCTCATTTAAACAGGTTACAATTTCAGCAGCAGCAAAACACTATTCATGCTACCAAACAGCTGGATATACAGAACAGTCGGGTGTATGAAACTTGTGAACCAGAAATGCTTAACAGCTTAGAAGAGACTTACAGTCCTTTCTTCAGAAACAACTCAGAGAAAATGATTATTGAGGTTTGTTTGTTTTTTGTTTTTGAATCAGGGTCTTTCTGTGTAGTTTAGGCTGACCTTAAATTTACTATGGAGCCCAGCCTGCCAACGTGCCCTCCCACCCCCATAGGCCTGAGCCACCACACCAACTTGTAAATTTTTTTTTGGCAGAACTGGGGACTGAACTTAGGCCCTTGTGCTTGGCAGGGAAGTGCTTATTCCACTGACCCATCCTCCCAGCCCCCTGTAAATATTTTTAAATTCTGGTTTGTAGGCCTGGCATGGTGGTGCACACATGTAGTCCCAGTACTCGGGAAGCTGAGGCAGGAGGATCATTGAGAGTTTGAGACCAGCCTGAGCTATAAAGTGAACTGTACAGTGAGACCCACTTTCAAAAAGACCAAAACAAAAAAACAAAAAGCACTTCACTTTTACATTGAAATTTGGCAGTTCTTAATCCTAAATAGTATTGCAAGTTTAAGTTGATTTTCCTGCTGTACTGTCCTCTCCATGGCTGGCTTCCAGGGGTTTTATATCACATCTGTATACCTTGCTAATACTTTTCACATTTAGGTTAGAGTCACTTGTTTTATAATCTTGGGAAGAGGATTTAGGTCAGTTTTAGATAGTTTATGGTAATTGCTAGTAACCAACTGAGGAGCTCCCTTTTCTTAGTTTCTGAGGAGTCTGAAGTTTAATCAGCTTTATTTTTACTTTACAATTTTGTGGAGGGTGGGTAGGTAATTGGTAGTGAGCAACTAAGTCACTCCCTTTTCTTAGTTTCTTTGATTTTTGGAGTTTGAAACAGTTTTATCCGTACCTTGTTTTGCCAGTAATGGTTAGGTGAATTCAATAGATTGTTTATGGTAACAACTAAGTAACTCCCTTTTATTTATTTCCTCAACACCGCTGTGTGTAGCTGTTTAGAAAATGAATGTAAAGCTTCTGAGCTTTCTTTCAGTTAATGGTTAGCTATTTGAAGTATTTATATTTTTATAAGTAGTCTGAATTCTTAATATCATTTTCTTTCTTTTTTTTTTTCTTCTGGTGGAACTGGGGATTGAACTCAAGCCCTTTTGCTTGCCAGGGAAGCACTTATTTCACTGAGCCATCTCCCCAGCACCTGTATAATTTTCTTTTTTAATCAAAAAATGTCATCGAATTTTGCTATTTATTTATTTCTGTGTGTGTGTGTGTGTGTTTTGGCCAGCTCAGCCTGCCAGGGGGCGGGGCTGGCTGGCATGTGGTGCTGGGGGATTGAACCGTGGTCGCACTGCTTTGCTAAGCTTGTTCTAAGTAGGTGTTTTAGACCACTGAGCCATCTCACCAGCCCCAGAATTTTGCTGTTTTTTGAGATTAGGTAATCATAAATTTAATCTGATTGCAGGAAGAAAATTTCCGAAAGAGAAAATTACCTGTGGTAAGTTCAGTTGTTAAAGTAAAAAAATTCAGTCATGATGGAGAAGAGGAGGAGGAGGAGGAGGATTACGGCTCCCGGGCCGGAAGTGTGTCCAGCAGTGTGTCGGTGCCAGCCAAGCCTGAGCGGAGGTATCTGAATGTGGTGCTTGTGACTGCCTGGAGTCCTTGGGTGTCTCTTTTGCTTTTTTCCATGCTGAGGGTCAAACCCAAGGCCTTGTGCATGCTAGGCAAATGCTTCACCACTGAGCTATATCCTGCTCCTTTTCTAGATATCATAAAAGGACAATCATGAAAAATACTTAAATCTCATGTAAGACTTTGCCATTGAATGAATGAATTTATTTTTTGAGAGAGAGTCTAACCATGTGTAGTTCAGGCTGGTCTTGAACTCGCTGTGTAACAGGTTTGCCTCCTGCCACAGCCTCCCAAATACTGGCAATGTTGGCATGTACCACCATGCCTGGTTTTCCACTTAATGTTTTAGAGAAACATGTTACTAAGAATGAATTTGCTTAACATTGGAGAAGGTCGCAGAGAATTAAAAATTAATTTGATGAAGAGGAAAGCCTTTTATTTAGGTTTGTTATTTTTATTTTATTATTTATTTATTTGTGTGTGTGTGTGTGTGTGTGTGTGTGGCCAGCTCAGCCCACCAGGGGGCTGGGCTGGCTGGCATGTGGTGCTGGGGGATTGAACCGCGGTCTCTGTGCTTTGTTTAGCTTAGCTTGTTCTAAGTAGGTGCTTTAGACCACTGAGCCATCTCACCAGCCCCAGGTTTGTTATTTTTAAAAGTTAAGGTTTCTTTCAGTCTAGTTGACATTTTGTAAAACATATAGCTGGTGTGCTTGAAACAGAAGGCTGTTGTAAAGGCACAATGGATGGCTAGTGTGTAAAGAACTGAGACTGAAAATGTTAATGCTACCTTTTAAAACTCTTTTAGACCTTCTCTTCCACCTTCTAAACAAGCTAACAAGAATCTGATTTTGAAGGCTATATCTGAAGCTCAAGAATCTGTAACAAAAACAACCAACTATTCTGCAGGTAATTTAAGTGGCATGTTTACGCTGGGTAAGAGATCACATCAGTAAATTTACAAATGCTTGCTCCCTGAGTTTTGCTGTAAGAAATTTTCTGTCAGATGTCAAGATTGAAGTTCAGTGCCTCTATAGTGAGTAGTTTTAGAAGGAAATTTGATCAGTTTGAGAACGTGTCAATGGAGTTTAGTTTTTTGAGCCCCATGTAGTACCTTTTACACTGCCATTCCAAAGTGTGTGAAACAGATAATATAAACTTAAAGGGAGGCTTTCTGTTTTTGTTTTTGGTGAAACCAGAAAGCGAACCCAGAGCTTTGCATGTGCTAGTGAGATGACCTAGTGCTGTGCTAGCTGTGCCCGGCACTTTTTTATTTTATTCTTAGACAAGTTCATTCTCACGTTGCCCAGGCTGGCCTTCAACTTTCAGTGCTACTGCTCAACCTCCTGAAAAGAGACAATTATAGATATGGGCCAAAAATTCTGGCTCAATAGTTTTGATTGAAAAAATGAGACTTTCTTATATAGGTTCAACATTAGATATAAATTTATGATAGGCAAAAGATAGCAAAATTGGATTATAAGTGGCTGAAGTTAGGGAAGTTTGCCTTTTTGGTTTTGCTTTGTTTTTTCGTGGTGCTGAAGATCATACCCAGGGCCTTATGCATGCTGGGGAGCTGTTCTGCCACTAGCTACATCCCAGTCCCCTAGAGAAATTTGTTTAAAACGTAAAAACAAGCAGATTGGTTTCTTCGTCCTGTAGTCCATTAACGAACGTAGGAAAGAGGAGCTGAGGCAGTGGCTCCCGCCTACAGCTGCGGCTCCTCAGGAGGCTGAGGCCACAGGACTGGAGGCTGCCGGTAAGGCCAGGCAGCGTGGGGAGGCCCCATGTCAAAATGATGGCGATGACGTCACTATAAAAGATAGCAGTGATAGGGCTGGGATGCCGCTCGGGGATAGCACACTTGCCTGTTACATGTGAAGCCCTGGGTTTAGGCCCCAGCTCTGCAAAGAAAAACGAACTCATTTGTGATGGCCTTGGCCTAATAGTCATGGTACTGATAGACACACATCATTATTTTTTGATAGAATGTGAGGATACAGCACATCATTAAAACAAACTTTCTTGGACTGGCCAGATAATTCACTGGACTAAAGCATCTGCTTAGGCAGATGCAAGGATTGGGGTTTGATCTCCAGCATGCTGTGCTGGCCTTGCCTCTGGGGCACACTGAGACAGTGATTGACACCATAATCCCAGTGCTTGGGAAGCTGAAAACAGGAGGATCACTCTGAGTCTAATGTACATAGTGAGACTCTGTAGACCCTGTACTAAACACATTAAAACTAACTAAATAAATAGTCATCACCTTCCTAATAGGAGAAAATAAAAAACACACTTTCTTGCAGAAAGCGAATTCTGAAGTACAGACAGTGGATGCTATTTTGCAGTTTTGGGTTCTATGCTTTAGGTCCCATTGTTGTAGCAGATGGTTAAACTTTTGGTAAGCTGGTGGTAATTAACTCTCAAATTTTATTTTTTACTATAGATTTGAGCAATGCTTTCTAGAGTATTCTGCTTTTCATTCCCTCTTACATCTTTACCTCTTCCTGAATGATTGCTTAGACATCAGTTTTTGATCCTCATAGTTTTGGTCCCCTTCATCCTGAATTTAACCTTGAATATAAAATTAAGTTTTGGCATGTAGAAAAGTGTTATCAGCCAGAGGTCAGTACTTGGCGTAACAAATTTAGAGATTTCTATGACCGTGAAATATACTCCAATAGTTGGACATCTCCAGGTATTTTTCTGGGTGTGGATCACTGAGGATTGAACCCAGGAGCTTTCACAGAGTTATATCCCCCAACTTTTTAATTATTTGAGGTAAGATGTTGGTACATTGCCTACACTGGACTTGAAGTTGTGATTTTCGTGCTCTGGCTTCCCAGAATACTGGGGTTACAGTTGTGAGCCACCATGCCTGACTTGAAGATCCCACAGTTTTAAGAAATAGCTTTGAAACATTCTTTCTTCATCTAGATTACCTAAATTGCAACTCGAGATTATATAAGATCATGATGCTAAGCCTAAACTGCATTTGGTTAAAAGTGAATATGTTGTACAGTACTCTTTGTAGCATATGCCTTAAAATGCATAGATAGTGTTGAAGTGTGTATTTGTAATAAGTTGGATGTCTATTTCAGGAATGTTCTAAGAAAGAGTAAAGGGGTAGTCTGTGGACTCTTGTGAACTTGTGAGTGCTCTAGACTCAAGGGACATTTATGATTTGTTAACTATTGAGTTTTGATGTGTTCTGATGTTCGTTATATTTCTCTTTAATTTTATGTTAAAGTCCCTCAGAAACAGACACTTCCAGTTGCTCCTAGAACACGAACATCACAAGAAGAATTGCTAGCAGAAGTGGTCCAGGGGCAAAGCAGGACCCCTAGAGTCAGCCCCCCTATTAAAGAAGAGGAAACAAAAGGAGATAATACAGAAAAAAGTCAAGGTAAGGATTTCACTACTTCACTTTCTATTATAAACTTTCTCATGGGGCATTATTTTCAAGTGGGTTTTTACAGAGTATTATGCTATGAATATAAGTCCCAAAGAGAATAAAGGGTCATAAAGAATGCTAATACATACACTTCTAAGAAATTTTAAAGTTTTTGAAACCAGACATGTTGACATATACCTGCAATGGCCAACTGCTTAGAGGCCAAGGCAGGAGAATCATAAATTCAAAGCAATCCTGGGCAACTTTGTGAGACCCAGGCTTAAAATAAGCAAAAACGGTTGATATTGAGCTCAGTGCTTCCTAAATTCAATCCCATGCCCTGGACACATAAGAATTTATTATGGGAATTTTTAGTGTTCTCAAAAGTGGAAAGAAGTGCAGCAAACTCAGCCATAGTGGATTTTGCTGGTTTTAAAGTTCTTACAGGTATATTTATTTGTGTTCTTGCCTGCCTTTTTTTTTTTTTTTTGGAAGGGTCTACAGAGTGTTCAGGGTCTCACTGCTAGATTGGACTCCTAGTGATCTGCCTTTTTATAGCCTCCCAAGAGCTGGGGTTACAGGCATGTGCCACTATGCCCAGTCTCAATTAGGATCGAACTCCCAACCCCTGTGCCTGCTTGCAGGCACTTTAATCCGCTGAGCTATTTGACAGGCCCTCTTTTTTTGGATCTTATCCCTGGTCTTTCTACCTTGAAACCTTGGTCTTTAAATTTCCTTTTACTTAGTATGCTGCCTCTGTGAGCCTTTTTGTCTGTCCCAGTGGCCTTACTTAGCTTCTGGTTGATTTTTCTGTTCCTTCTTTTTGCCTCTTTTCCCAACCCTGACTTGTGTGTAGTCTCCTGACTTCCGAAGTGTGGCTTCCTCTGCGAGTCCTTTGCGAGAGTGTCTCCCCATCCTACTGCCTCAGCTGAGGCTCTGAGCAGTTCTGTTATCTGACACCCTGACCTGCTCATCACTTCTCTACTACTCTCAAACCTATTCTTTCTTTTTCCTTCAGAAAAGGTTACAGTTTGTTTCTTTCTACTAAGATCTGATTTTTAAAGTTTTGCCTCAGTGCAGAAAATCTATTTTTACATTTTTACATTTGCAGATATACTTTTTTTGGGTCTAATCTTGAAATACATTTTTTCAATCCTTATAAATTTGTGATTCTTCCAGTTATATAGATATCATGGATCTTAGGATTATATCCTGTGTCTTTCTCACCCACTCCTCTCTCCCCTTTGCTTGATAGTATGACCTGGACCCATGGCCTTATAGTTGCCAAGCATGTGCTTTATCACTGAGCTACACCTCAGCTTGGGTGTTGAAAACAAAAAGATACACTATTTCAGAGTGAGCAAGAAGACAATGAGAAAATATAAGACATGCGTGGGTGAGTGCTACATAGCCAGTCCAGGCTCCTTGAGTGTTTGAGGCAGGGAGATCACAAATTTCAGGGGCAGCCAGGAAAAATGTATGAGACCTTTGCCTTGGAAAGGTCAGGAGGTATAAAAGTGCCACAGTGCTTGTTGGCCTAACATGCATGAGGCCTGGATTCAAACCCTGGTACCATACACAAACAAAAAATGCCACCAAATCCATGACATGTAAAACTGACATTAAACAGAATCAGAAAAACTTTTGATATGAATTGAGAGGAATTACAAGTAAAAATTTATTTAGAAATAAAGACTTTTGTGTGTGGCCCTAGGTTTAAGCAGTAATACTAAAAGAAAAAGAGAACAGCCGTATAAGAAATAACTCATAGTATGTTTTAATACTCTAAAGTATCCTCAGAGACATTGAAGATAAAGGGAACAATATAAAAATCAAAAAGTAGGACTGTGGAGATAGCTCAGCGATCTAAGTGCTGGCCTGGCAAGCACAAGGACCCGGGCTTAATCACTGGTACAGCATGCCATGGTGCCCTGGAGCCCCAGGCAGGCCAGCCCTGAGACCAGGTGTGGTGGCGCACTCCTGTGATCTCAGCACTGGAAGGCTGAGACAGGAGTATTACTGTGAGTGGAACTGTGTAGTGACACCCTGTATCCAATAAATAAATAGACAAAAAAGCAGAAGTCAAGAGAAAACAATAGATAGTATGAGCGGCACAGATACAAAGTATTTATAATAGGAATTTCTGGTGGTAGGGAACAATGGAATGTTTTAATCTTTTAAAGAAAACTTCTGAAGCTGGGCGTGGTGGCATAGGACTATAATCCCAGCATTCTGAGGGCTGAGGCAGGAGGATTGTCGTGAGTTTGAGGCCTGCCTGAACTACAAGAGTGAAGAGCTTGTCTCAAAAAAAGAAAACTTCTGAGATAATGAAAAGGGAAAATTGAATCTGCTTACCACAAAGTTTACATTTGTATGCTGGTGAATATCCATTCACACCCAGAAACATTTAAGTTTATTTAAGAGCTAATGGAATTTAAAACAAACAAGCATAGGTGCACAGGCAAAAAAAATCACACAACTAGCCTGATGTGGGGCATGCCTGTAATCCCAGTACTCGGGAAGGCTGAGGCAGGAGGATTGTTGTGAGTTTGAGGCCATCCTAGGCTACAAAGAGAGCTCAAGGCCTGCCTGAAATGCGTAGCAAGACCCCGTCTCAAAATAGCAAAAATAAAACACAACTTAAAAGAAAAACTAGTTTATTCTCAAGCCATTTATTGATTGATTGATTGATTGATTGATTGATTGATTGAAGGTTTTACAGTTTATTAAATCCTCTTGTGAAAAAAGTCGCAGTCACTGCAGACAGGCACTGCAGAATCTCTACTCGTTCGGCTTTTTGCCAGCACCCGCGTTAGCCTTTGCAGTGCCCCTGACTTTCTTCATTCTGTTCTTGCGTTCCTTCTGCTGCTTTCTTGAGGTCTTTTTCTTCTCATACAGGCCGTGTCTTGCAAGTCTGTGTTTGGGCTCATTTTTCTTTGCATAATCCAGGGAATCATAAATCCTGCCAAAGCCAGTCGTCTTGCCACCACCAAAATGGGTTCTGAATCCAAACACAAAAATGACAACTGGTGTGTCTTGTACATTTTGGCAAGTTTTTCCCGAATTTCTGTCTTAGGTACTGTTGCTTTCCCAGGGTGAAGGACATCAATTACCATTTGTTTCCTTTGAAGAAGCTGGTTGGTCATGAATTTCTGGGTTTGGATAGTTACTGTGTCATTCATGATGGCAATGGAGCCTCAGACAGCCCGGGAGGAAAAATCTCAAGCCTTTTAAAGCATCACTTCATGATAGAAGGAAATGACCAGTAGATTTAAGAGTCTGTGTTTCAAGAGTTTTATGTTTAGCAGAAATAACTTCCACATTTTGAGGAATATAATGGAATATGAGCTTAGACTATTTCCTATGTGAACAACCTAGGCTCTTTTTTTTAAATTAGTGCATGGATTATAGGGTCCCACTGCACAGATTGGACTCGTAGTGGTCCTCCTGTTTTCAGCCTCCCAAGCACTGGGATTACAGGTGTGCACCACCACTCCCAGTCTCAGTGGCTGTCTCAGCGTGCCCCGGGTGCGGGGCCAGCACCACTTGCTGGGGATCGGACCTGGTCCCTGCACCTGCCTAAGCAGGCACTTTAATCCACTGAGCTATCCGGCCAGCCCTAATAAACGTAGGCTTGAGAAGTGATTCCTTGTCTGTGGCAGAAAAGCTTAAGGTGATCCTATGTCTGGATGTCATACACAGTGAGGAAGCTATCAGTGTGTGACAAGGATTCAGGAGTCAGCTTTTATACTGTTCCCGTTGGTCACACGGAACCATTTGAGCTCCAGTAAGAGTCGCAGGGTCAGTGGTGAGGCTCGTCAGATCCCTTCCTCACCCCTCGGAAGTAAGCCTGAGTCAAGCACCTTCTAGAGCAGCGGTGGTGAGCCTTTTAGAGACAAGGGCCCACACTGCAGCCCTGCACGGGCTGCTCTGTCGCCAGGTGCTACCACTGCTGCCTCTTCAGGTTTTCCAGGCTATATGCCTTTTGTGTGTGCCTTTTCACGTCTTGTATCAGTGTCTCTCCAGAATTTGTGTTTTTTTTTTTAAATTTTTTATTTATGTGTGTGTGTGTGTGTGTGTGTGTGTGTGGCGCCAGCTCAGCCCAACAGGGGGTTGAGCTGGCGCCACACACACACACACACACACACACACACAAATAAAATATTATGTGTTAATATATCCATTTTTGTTTTATTTAGAGGACAGTATTTACCAGGTGCGTACATAATTAAAGCTGCTATATCTGCCTGATGAGTTGGATCGTTTTTGTCTTCATCTGTGACTCCCTTATTCCAAACGATGCTTTTATCATAAAGTCAGTTTTGTTTATGTAACTATTCATGTATTATTTGCCTTATATATTTTTATGCCTTATTTTCAGTATTCTCTATGCTTCTCTAAATATTATAAAGCTGGGTTTTATTTATTTTTTTGAGGCAGTGTCTTACTGTGCAGTTCAGGCTGGCCTTGAGCCCACTTCGTAGCCCAGGCTGGTCTTGAACTCTCAGTGATCCTCCTGCCTCACGCTTCTGAGTGCTGGGATTACATTGGCCACTACACCTGGCTTGGTTCTTTTTTTTTTTTTTTTTGTGATACTGGAGATTAAACTTGGGACTGTGCCCTTCTAGGCAGGCACTTATGCCGCTGAGCTATTTCCCCAGCCTCTATAGATTTGATTTTTTAAATCCAATTTGAATTTGCCTTTATTTATTTGTTGGGTTTTTGAAAAATAGTCTTGCTGTGTAGCCCAGGCTGGCCTTGAACTTGTGATGATGTGCCTGCCTCATCCTCCTGAGTGCTAGGATTACAAGTGTACACTGCTGCACCTGGCTGGAGTTTGCCTTTTTATGGGAGCCTTTTGACCACTTACTAGAATCTGATATAGTTGAACTAGATTCTGCCTTTTAAAGTTTCATTGATTACTTGTGTTTTTATTTATTATTTTTTAATGTATTTGGTTAGTGCAGGTTCTCACTAGGCAGCTTGGGCTTGTGGTGATCCTCCTCTTTTCA